TTAAAAGGGATAGTTCACCCAAAAATGAAAATTACCCCATGATTTACTCACCCTCAAGGCATCCTAGGTGTATATGGCTTTATTCTTTCAGACGATTCCAATCGGAGTTATATTAAAGTAATGGGTGTTATTTTTCAATAGTCCAAAGGAAGTCCAATAAAGCACATCCATCCATCATAAAAAGTGTTCCACATGGCCTCTTGATGCAAATCAATGCGTTTTTGTAAGAAAAAATATCCATATTTAAAACTTTATAAACAGTAATCCCTAGCTTCCGCTAATTGTTGTATGCGCATTCACAATAGAAAGCCATTCTGGCAGATGATGTAGGATGTAGTCATAGCGTAAATTCTGGTGAGAAGTGACGAACACGGAAGCGCAGAGGAAAGAGCAAAACAAAACACTGGTCATGAATTAGAAGTACAAAACGAAGATTTGTAAAGAAAAATGTCGGAGGATTTCGATATAAGCCAAGAGGAGGTTTTCCTTTGCTAAAGTACGGAAACTTTGTTTCCTTTGCTCCTGTAAACAAACATTGGTTCTCGCGAGACTAGCATATTCTCACCGAACCTGATGCTATGCCTACGTCATCTGCCAGATTTTTTTCTTACAAAAACGCATTGATTCACTTCAGGAGGCCTTTATTCACCCCCCAGAGCTGTGTGAGGCACTTTTTATTAGGGATGGATGCGCTTTATTGGACTTATTTTGGACTATTACAAAAAACACCCACTCACTGCCATTATAAAGCTTGGAAGAGCCAGGACATTTTTTTTTATATATAACTCCAATTGGATTAGTCTGAAAGAAGAAAGTCATATACACCTAGGATGACTTGAGGGTGAGTAAATCATGGGGAAATTTTCATTTTTGGGTGAACTATCCCTTTAATTATTTTTGTAAATTAAACTATGATTTTTATTATTTAACTATGATTAAAAGTGGATACAACCTGGGTGGTCATAACAATAACAGGACATGACTAATTAGCAGTAAACACTTATAATATTTTAAATAGTAAATTTTACTTAATTTTGGGTAGCATATTTGTCATATTAACACTAACCATTTATGATGTTGCTGGGCTAGAAAACAATAGTAAAATCTATGCAATTCCTAGTCTGAGCTCCTAATCAGCTACCATCTGAGGTTAGTGTAAATGCAAATTAGAAAGCTAATAACTACAGTCATTTGAAATGTAACATTTGAAATGCCGTAACTTTATGTCGGGCACTTAAAATTAATGAATTTTAAAAACAGAAGCATACAAAATTTCTTATGTCATGCACTTTGGTACAGGCCAGACTGGCAACACACCAAAGTTGATTAAAATCAAGGCCGAAAAACTGTTAAAAGATGCTTGTGAATGTTTGGTTGAGCCCCCATCCTAGCCTTATACTAGTTAGTTTACCACAGTCATAAGTTATGTCTTATATCTGCCGCTTGAACAAAAAATTAATGTAATTTGGGCATGTTTCTGGTTTTCCCAAAAATCTGTGGTTTCCTGTATCACATCAATCAGCTCATAAACAATAACTCAGCTACATTGTGAAATCAAATTCTTGTTTGCTCAAAATACAGCCTGTTAGTGCTAAGGCCAATATGTGTATTGTTTGGAAGCCGTAATGTCTGAAAATCTTGTGCAATTGTTGTTTTGCATGCCTACTTTAGATATTAGTGAGCTAATATGAACAACTTCTGTTATTACATAAAACTAAAATTATTTGGTAACATGTTACACACTACGAGTTTAGATATACTTGACTATGTTCTTCAGAATAAGTTTATTTGTATACAGTGGTTTAGCTTTCCTCTGTGCTCTATCAATGGCTGGTGGTGCAGCCTTATTAGGGTTTAAATGAAAAGCGGCCCACGTGATGGTGTCTTTCAGAGATGGATATCAAGCATGTCTGAAAGCCTGAATGGTGCTTTCGTCTGTCTTCATGTGGCTGTGCTGAGTTTGCAGAGAGAGGAAGAACACATGCAAAAGCAAAGACTTTGACCTGAGGGGAAATAAACATACTCTTAGCACACCTTGATTTAGGTGTGGATGAATTAATTTCAGTTTTAAAAAGGCAGAACTGAAAAACAAATTAAATTTAGGTAATTTAACTCTATATTCTCTTCATTGTGTCATGTTCTCTGTTGATGAACCAGTTGCAATGAAGTTCTTGGCAATGAGCCTCCACTCGATAAGTTAAGCCAACATAGCACACCTTGATTTAGGTGTGGATTAATTAATTTCAGTTTTAAAAAGGCAGAACTGAAAAACAAATTAAATTTAGGTCATTTAACTCTATATTCTCTTCATTGTGTCATGTTCTCTGTTGATGAACCAGTTGCAATGAAGTTCTTGGCAATGAGCCTCCACTCGATAAGTTAAGCCAACATTTTTTTTACATATTTACAATTTTTACACTTTTGCTACTCTAGCATCAATTTTGGTCACAATGAAGGGTACACAGTCCACAATGCTAACATGTTTGTCTGTTGAAATGGATGCTGAAACAGACAAAACGCGCCATTGGAGAAGCACAAATTAAATGTCACTGTTTCGGTCAGTGGTTTTAGCCCTCAAACTATTTCGGCTGAAACTGATATTTGTTTTAGGAACCCTAGATTGATATTATAACTGTTGCCCAGCGTTACACTATGGTGAAGCTTTGTGAGCTGGTCCCATTGAATGAGAATTGTAATTAAAATTCAGCAGTGTCGAGTCCTCAGGCCTTGTACAGGAAGTCTCAGCATTACAATAGCCAAACTTAAACTTCATTTATGATGTCTCAGTTACTTGGTTTGGCACACGAATACCACACTTGGAACTATTTACAGATTGTTTGGGTCGCAAACCCAGCAGTTCAATTGCTTCATGTGAATTTTTTTTCCTGTAGAAAAAAGTAGGCAGGTCATGACAGAATGTGGCGTTTCCAGGCAATAGTTATCCATGGAGTCGTGCAACTTCTTTTAACCTTCTCTGACCCTGAAAATCAATTACTTTCTTCAACCTGGTGTGGGAAATCCTTTACTTCACACACATATGTGGGGTCAGTAGGTTTATTGTGCCACCCTTTTAACAAGGTTTAGAAAAGGCTCCCAGGTTTACAGCATTGTTACATTTTAAACATTTTGATTGTAGTATTTTTGGTAGTCAAGTCGGTAGTCAGTACTTAAAAATGCATCAATCCTGTTGAAGTCAGCATGAAATGGAAATTCACCCTCTTTTCTAAATGCATGTTATCGATCTTGTGTAAGATTCATCCATGCATAGGTTTTGTTTTAACTTTTTTTTTTTTATCAAAATGTTGACTTTGTCTTTCAGTAAAAACGACAGTCTTCTGCTTTACAATAGGGATTGTTTCAAAGCATCTTCACAGCAAAGTAACAATCAGTGATGCTAACTTCATCAAGAAAAATCCAAATTCTGCTGTAAAGTAGCTTTAGAAAGACAATAGTGTCCTTGCTCCAGTCAGTTCAGTGTTGATTCAGTTCAGTAACTGTGTAAAGTTCATCAGTTACCAAACAAGTTCAATTCAGCAATAAGCAGCTCAACTGGAGATGTATGCAGGAGTTAT